CTCCTTTTCTTAACCCGTTTCATCGACCCATCGTGTCCTCTTCTTCGACTCCTTTATCCTATCATCCCCCTTATCCCGGCGATCACAGTAAATGTCCTTTACAAACTAAATCAAATTTGAAGACATCTTTCTCTGAGCATATCGCCTTCCTACTTTTCCTAGGTCCTTCCTGGCTGCTGTTTTGATGTGTATTTACAATAAATGATCCCGCTCACATCAAATAACCAAATAAATTGATTTGGAAGCATCCGATTCGACTCTTTTGAGCGCGGCACTCATATTGGTTTGTTTCTTGGATCCCTGATTCTTATCCAGATAGATGGACGACAATAAAAAAGACGTTCACGTCCAAGTCGTTGACAACATTCAAGTTGACCAAGAACTCAAACAAAACTCTCTTTACGCCCCACTCCAACTTGAAGTCCTACACCTTACTTTACACCGTGAAAGTGGGCTCATAACCTTCCGATTTTGGCGGGCTTACAGGGTAACGGCGGTTGGGGAAGGGGAGCAACAGGGTGCGGAGCAAAAAGGAGAGGAAACGGAAAGACGGTAGGAAGTGTAGATGTGTTATACCGTGGAAAATACTCCTGCATCGAATGTGATGGAGTGATCGAAGGAAAAAAAAAACCATAGTCAGAATAAGGACATATAAACATTAGAAAATGACTTCATATGCTCCGACTCAGGTTCGAACTGAGGACCCTGTGCGTGTGAAGCACATGTGATACCACTACACCATCGGAGCTGTTGTTTCTCCTCCGCCGTGCTTTCTTACTAACACAAGCAATCTTTCAGACCACTTTCAGCCTTCAACTCTCTCAAAGAGGTACCATCAGCTGTATGTTCCCAAATGACTGACGAAATTGTTTTTTCTAAACTGCGATTGAAATCATGCTCTATAGAGTTCTGTTTGGTGTTCTGTTTCGATCTTTTCGGAGGATCCAAGGTTGTCGAACGGCAAGCGTGTCAGATTGTGCGGTTTTTAGTCTAGAACATCGTGACCGACCCAAGAGTTGAAATGACTATCTCCGTCCACATCGGAAAGAACTCGTTCGAGTTGTTCGAGGCGTTAAGGCGATTGTACCTTTCGGCCCGAGTCACCGCGGCGGTACGGAGTGGAGCAATACATGGCCCCGGTGTAAGCCGGCGCGATCCAGCCCACCATGTATGCATACGTGTGTTCACCTGAGGCTGACGACCATAATGGCTGGGGTCGTCAACACAAACGATGTCGTAGATTTTGTGGCCCAGGGGAGGAGGCGAAAGAACGGCGGGGTTGGGTTGAGCGATGCTGGGTTCGGGAATATGATTCGATGTTGACACCGTGGAGTGGAGTGTTGCAGATGAAACGGCTGTTTGTTGCAGTAGTCGTGGTATTGGAATCGTGGAAGTGGGGAGTGCACACACACTCTGTCACGGGTCCTGAGCTCATACCCGTGCCGCACGATTTGACGGAACTCATTGCAAAGATACCGCACGTTCCAATCCACTCCACACTCGAAAAAAGGTGAAATCGTCTTGTCTTCCTGCGCTTCCCTTCCTTCATTCTCGGCAGTCGACGTCCTACCACCGTATCAAATCCGCACCCCAATCCCTTCAATAACCATATCCTATCCCAATCATTGTCCGTATTGATGATGTTGCAAATGTGGCATCGACCCCGCCTGTTGCTGCTGCTGTTCGAAATCCCCCGCCTTCCCCGTCAACCCACCCC